TCCCCATTGTCACCCCCTAATGGTGCCATTACCAGGCTGACGACTGGGTTTCTTGCTGAATCAACAGTTGATCGGAAGGGTGCTCGGTTTGATTTGACCTATCTCCCTCCTCTCCCCCGCTCCGTCGGTCCCCGTTGTGTGCCCCCTAATGGTGCTATGGCCAGGCTGACACCGGTTTCCTCCCTTGCGGGTTTGAGTCGTTTGATCGGTCGTGTCTGTATTTCTTTCTCCGCTTCTTCCACTCCTGCTCTTCCTCTTCTCCCTCTCGTTGTCTTCTCGTTTCTTCCCCTCCTGTTGCCGGCTTTGCTCAATTTGACCTTTCTCCCTCCTCTCCCCTGCTCAGTCGGTCCCCGTTTTGTGCCCCCTAATGGTGCTATGACCAGGCTGACACCGGTTTCCTCCCTTGCGGGTTTGATCGGTCGTGTCTATATTTGTTTCTCCGCTTCTTCCACTCCTGCTCTTCCTCTTCTCCCTCTCGCTGTCCTCTCGCTTCTTCCCCTCCTCTTGCCGTTTCAAAAGCACGCCGTGCCTCCGCCGTCTTGCTTGTTGCCGCATCCTTTCGCTTCACCCTTTAGGGCCGCTCTCCAAGTGCTTGCAGCGTTCCTTCCTTCGCCATGCTGGATATTCTCAATACGGCCCCTTTTCTCCACCATCGTTGTGACTTCGGAGTTTCCAGAGTGCTGGAGCGTTTTCCGCAGTTCTTCCAACACTTTTCCGCCATTTTCTCGCTTTGCACTGTTCCTTTGCACTCGCGCACGTGGTCACGTATATTCCCCTGTACCTGCAACACTCCTAGCACTTCACTGCACTTCCACAACACTTTCCTAACACTACACCGAATTAGTTGNNTATGGCCAACGATACGGAGTAACCGCTTACAGGAGAAAGGTGAAGATTATAGCCAAGGGGTTGGGGGAGGACTCAAATCGGGCAGGAGTGATAAGTAGGAAAGATCAGATTGAGTTAGAAAGAGAAGAGATTAGGAAATTAATTCAGAAAGGATTTTGTAATAGGGTCTCAGGAGAGGAAGTAGAGGTGATTGGAGAAAATGTAGACCATGAAAGGGAAGGTCAAGTTGTGGAAGGGGGTAGTTGGAACTGGTTTGACAGAGATATTGAGAGAGTGGAGTTGGACTGGACCATAAATAGGTCGAGGGTTGGTTCTGCTCCAGGAAAAGACAGGATTGAGTACAAGGTTATTAGGCTGTTGACCACAGATTGGAGAATGGCACTCTTGAAGATCTTTAATGACATTTGGAGAGGGGGAGGGTTTCCCAAAATATGGAAGGAGGCCATTTTGAAGTTTATACCGAAGCAACAAAGGAGGGCTCTAAGGCCGATTTCGTTGCTAGATTGTTTAGGGAAAGTATTAGAAAAGATAGTCAATGAAAGATTGAGAGTTTGGGCGGAGGAGGAGGATAGAATAGATAAGAACCAAAGTGGTTTTAGGAAGGGCAGGTCCACCTGGGATAATTTGGTCATTTTAACCAGTTATATAAGGGAAAATTTTGGGCTTGGAAAGGAAGTCATATGTGCTTTTGTAGATGTTAAAGGGGCATATGATAGTGTTAATCATGGGAAACTGGTTATAGGCTTGAGGGAACTAGGTTGCCCGGTTAGGATAGTGGGATTTCTGGAAGGTTGGTTAAGGGATAGGAAATTGGAGGTGTTGAAGGCGGATGGAGAGAGGGATAGGATGAGTATCTTGAGGGGATTGCCTCAGGGATCTCTCTTGAGTCCTCTACTGTATAATTTATATACATCAGGAGTGGGACAGGTGATTAGGGAACTAGAGGTGAAAATCTTACAGTATGCGGATGATATAGCTGTGTATTTGGAGTATGTAGATAGAGAGGGGGGAGTTAGGAGGCTGGAAGAAGCGTTGGAAAGACTTAGAGAGTATTTGGCGGAATTGGATCTGGAAATAGCTCCGGAGAAAACCCAGATTCTGACGTTCTCGGGAAGGAAGGGAAGTATTAGTAGCTTGGGCAGTAGGATATGCTTAGGGGATATAGATGTGGAAGAAGTTGGGCAGGCAAGGTTTTTAGGAGTAGTATTCGATAGAAACCTATTGTTTAGAGAGCATGCTAAATATGTGGTAGAAAGGGTTAACTCCTCCTGTTAAAAGAGAAGGTGAGAAGGTTAAGCGATGTAGAGAAGGAAAGGGAGGAGGAACAATTAATTGAGGTTAAAGGT